GTTAGGTATATTCTATATCTAAGTCTCCGTCCACGTTGTGGACTAGTACGTGTGAGAAAGCACACATGGTTCTGAACGTTCTAGCAGGGAACGCTTCATAACATGACTTCACGTTCATTGATAGACGCATCGCTATCAAGCTTTGCGTGGGACTAGGGAAGATTTCATTCAGAGGAATCAACAAAGAGCAGGAACGCGTAGGGAGAGACATTGTGAGGTTTGAGAAGGAGTCGTGCTACTGGCCCTACTAGGATCAGTAAACATCTTTGTACTATCATATCAGCAGTTTCATGCCCCGGTATCAAGTCAGTTTTGTATTCAGAAACTACGTGATTGAGCACTACATCACTGACCTCTATCATCACCTGGTGTGCACGGGGTACTTCATCTATCAACCGCTACCATCAGAGTGATCCATTCTGCTTTATCATTATCCAGTTGACATTGAACGATGAGTCACCCTGCACACACCTTTTTGACTCATTGAAACAGACATCGAGATAATCGATCCAGTTCACGAGTGGATAGAAAACAATTACTGAGAACGTCTTGCTCGGTTGTATCAGGAAGACGAAGAACTCTTCTGGACAAACTGGTACAGAGACTTTCCAGAACAAAGACACCCTCGCCCAACAAGGCTAGAAGAAGTGGCGGCACGAAGGAATCATCTCATCGAACTAGCACGCTTACCAGGAGCCAATAATCAGCCCCAGTAAAAGCCCATCATTTCAAACACACTCTCCGTCACCTCTTTTCCACTATCTTCAACATCGATTCCAATGTCTCAGTATAACCTTGGAGGCGTTGTGTTCCCAGGAGGACACACCGCAAGTGAACTGTCAGACCCCTGGAGGAGTAATGCCCCTTCTACGTCATCTGAAGCAGGACCAGCTGCCCCTGCAGATGAACCCCATACTAGCAGCACACCCAAGGCGTCGGGAGTAGTCAGAAACCCGTCGCCCACTGCCCTGCCAGAATTCACAACACCTCAGACCTGGGAATGGCAGGGGATTCCTTACGCAACAATTGAGGAAGCCGCAGACGCCGCCGCACCCAACACCATCCCAAACGATGTCAAGGAATGGACAATGAACGTGGTGCGAGCGTTTATCATGAGAGACGTTGTAAGCTCCTATGAAGCACTTCGTCAAAAGATGGATGAATGACATGAGCGCATGGTGGCCTCATTAGAAGAAGAAATCCTGGCCCGCATCCACGTCGAAATAATGGTGGTGGAAACTCGAGACCAGCTAAAAATCGCAAGAGCCCAGATCGGCACCCTCTCCGCTGACAACGAATGGCTCATCAAGTCGAACAACAGTCTGACACTCGAAGCCCAAGCAATCCACAAGGACTTCGAAGACTATAAGGATGAAGTAAAGGGTCAGATGGATGCCCTTTACGGCAACATGGTCGCCCTGAAGGAGGCTCAGGAAAAGACCACTACCTATATCGTTGGCTTGGAGTCTCGACTCAATAATGCCATTATCAATGCACCTTCACAAGGTATCCAACCACCGGCCAACCAATCCAGTCAATCGCCCCATCGAATCAAGCTCCCAGACCCTCCCAAGTATTCAGGGAGAAAATCGTCAGAAAACTTCGAGACCTGGTTCACCAACCTTCTAATATGGCTCGATTACAATCATTTCACCGATGACAAGGACAAAATTCGGCAGGCCAACGCACATCTAGAAGGCGGAGCAGCTCTATACATGAAGGAGTATGCAATCAAGCTCGCCTCCAGACAAGATGTCGGCACATGGGCCGAATATACCAGAAAACTGGAGATGGCATACAAGACGCTTGACCCCAAGCACACGGCACAATCTTTGCTAGATGCACACTGCGCGATTTGCCACAAGACAATGATCGCCTTCGCAGAGAACTTCAGGGCTTACGCCCCTGAATCAGGATACTCTGACGAAGATCTAATCGTCAAAATCAGGGAACAACGGTCGACTCACATTCAGACGGTCATGTCAGTAACGGAGACTCTGAACCCATCCAAGATTCCAACCACATGGATGGATTATTTAGAATTCTGCTTGGAGATAGAAATCAAACACCTTCAGCAGATATCGGGTAACAAGTCTACTGGACAGACCACGGCAAATAAGGTGGCTACCCCCAAGGACCCTAATGCAATGGACACTAGCACACGAATCACACATGAACTATCCCTGGAACAGGACAGATGGCTGGCAAACAAACTATGTTTGTTCTGCAGAAAGCACGCCTATGAACGAGGAAAGTGATGCCCCTCCACCAAGCCAGAATACAAGGGTAAGCAGTTTCAGACATGATCTGCCCTGAAGCAAGGACAAGGAAAAGGGAAGGGCAAGGCGACGAACGTGCGACAGGTGGAAGAAGAAAGTAGCGTGGGCTCATCAGCTCAAATTGCAGCACTGGAACAAGGAATTGCTGCACTTCGTGGGATGAGCACAACGTCAACTACACCACCGTCCAGTAAAGGCAAGGGCAAGGCAAAGACGCACAGTGTGGACACGGAGTCAACTATATCGGCATTAACGGTCAAGGACACCAATGCGAGAATCGTCGAGATAGACGATTTCTCAGAGGATTTTCAGTACGAAGTGTAGACGAGTCTGGTGCTACACTTCAGGACAATTGTATTAGTACCGTGAGAACGAATGTACCTAGCGATCATCTATATATTGCATCCACGGGTTTTTCTAAACATTCGATCGAATTGTCGATAAAATTCGTATCATGGGAAATCCAGACAACGGCACTACTGGATTCTGGAGCATTCTCTTGCTATATTGATCAAAGATTCGCAGAGAAACATGGGTTTAAGATGATACCACTAAACCATGAAATAAGAATCCTCAATGCAGACGCCAGCCCCAACAAGGGTGATGCAGTTACTCATCGTGTAGTCACAAGCATCTTAATTGGGGGGCACCGATCAACTGAGAGTTTGCTCGTCACAAACCTCAGATGCATGTCAATGATCCTTGGCATGAAGTTCTTACAAGAACATAACCCCCGAGTTGACTGGGAACATAGAGAGGTCACGTTCTCAAGATGCAGACACACGAGGAAGCAACGAGTTAAAGTATGCGAAGAAGAAGTCAACCTTCTATCGCAACCTCGACTTGAAGATGAAGCAGTACTTCCTAATGTACATCAGGATGACAGATGGGATCAGGAAGACAGCTTCATCAACTGGATAGACTTGCAAGACCAGGATCTTCATAACATGGTGCACGACATCCTAGGTATAAGCAAGAAGGTAAAGGAGCATTTGGTAGAACAGCCGGCAGAAGAGACACAGGACAAAGAGTATTGGTCCAAGTTTGTCCCTCCAGAATTCCATTAATTTGGAGATGTGTTCTCGAAGAAGAGCTCGAAAAGAATGCCGATGCATAAGCCCTATGATCATGCAATTGATCTTGTCCCAGACACGGCAACCCCGAGACCGGCAAAAGTATACCCTATGTCTTTACGAGAGAAAAACTCGCTCGACGAATGGATTGACGGTGAATAAGCCAAAGGCTACATTCGACCGTCTAATCCCCTTACGCCGCTCCGGTATTTTTCGTCAAGAAGAAAGATGGCTTTCTTAGACTTGTCCAAGACTACAGGGCATTAAACAGTGTCACCAAGAAGAACAAGTTCCCACTCCCACGAATCAACGATCTCATTGACGGACTCTCCAGGGCTAGTATATTTACCACACTAGACCTGAGATGGGGGTACAACAATGTACGCCTCCACAAAGGAGATGAGGAAAAGGCAGTGTTCATTACCTATAGAGGATTATTTGAACCCACTGTCTTGTACTTCGGATTCTGTAATGCCCCTAGCACCTTCCAGGCCATGATGAACGACATCTTAGGTGATCTCATTTGCACTGGAAAGGTGGCAGTTTATATAGATGACATTATCATCTTTACAGATAACCAGGAGGAACACAATCGACTGACCAAAGAGGTCCTACAATGACTCAGAGACAATGACCTGTTCGTGAAACCAGAAAAGTGTCACTTCGCAACCACTTTCATCAAGTTTCTCGGACTTATAATCTCAAAAGGATCGATACAAATGGACTCAGAGAAGGTTGACGGCGTGCTCAAATGGCCGGTGCCTACCAAGATAAAACAAGTACAAGCATTCCTTGATCTGGCAAACTTTTATCGACGATTCATCAAGGATTTTGGATTGATGACCTGACCCTTGACTCTATTGACCTGTAAGGACGCAACATGGAAATGGGAAGAACCTCAACAAAAGGCATTTGAGGCCCTCAAGACTGCATTCACTTCCGCCCCGATTCTAGCACTCCCCAATGCAGTCTGTCCCTTTAGATTAGAAACAGATGCCTCGGACTTTGCCACAGGTGCAGTCCTTGAACAGTTGGGAGAAGATGAACTTTGGCATCCTGTCGCATATTACTCCAAATCACTCAACAAACACGAGTGAAACTACGAGATCTACGACAAAGAAATGCTAGCCATCATTCAGGCTTTGGAAGAATACTGGCAGTACTTCGAAGGACACCCTCATCCAGTTGAGATATGGTCAGATCACCTTAACCTTACCTATTTTCGCCAAGCTCAAACATTGACCAGACGACAAGCGCGTTGGTCACTCTACCTTACACGTTTTAACTTCATTCTCCGTCACTGCCCCAGAAAGACGATGATGTGTGCCGATCCTCTGTCCAGAAGGCCAGATCATGAGAAGAGGGTGAGCAATGACAATTCAGGGCAAACTTTGCTTCGGCCCGAATATTTTGCCATCCACGTGATCTCAGCCACTCATTCCTCCGAAGTTGATGATGCAAAACTTCTAGAAAGAGTGAAATCGGCACTACAAGATGACGAAATGACCAAAGGTTACCAGCACCTACTAAAAACTGGCAAGCGAGAGTTCAGAAAAGACCTCCAAGAATGGAACTTTGAGCATGGATTGCTGCTCAGAAAAGAAAAGGTCTACATTCCAAAAGACTCTGTGCTGCGGAATGAGCTGATCAAGCTGCACCACGATATCTCCACAGCCAGACACCCCGGATGATGGAAGATGCAAGAGCTGATTAGCAGGAATTACTGGTGGCCAGGGCTCACCATTGATGTAAAGAAGTACGTCCAAGGCTGCGTAACTTGTCAAAGAAACAAGACGAGCAAGCAAAAGCCTTACGGACTGTTACAGCCTAATCCAATACCAGAGGGACCTTGGGAAATGGTTACATGCGACCTGATTATGCAGTTACTGCCAAGCCCAGACCATAGGGGAGAAAAGAAGACTGCCATTCTGATAGTCGTCAACAGGTTCACCAAACATGCACATTTCTACCCAGTAGACGACATGGTGACAGCATCTCAAGTAGCATCAATTTTCTATACTGAAGTATTCAAACTCCACAGAATTCCTCGGCAAATCATATCCGATCGAGGCACCCAGTTCTCAGCCAAACTATTTCAGGAGTTTTGCCAGAAACTTCACATTAAATCTACAATGTCTACAGCTTATCACCCTAAAACGGACGGACAAACAGAACGAGTCAATCAAATTCTGGAGCAATACCTGCGCATGTATTGCAATTACCAACAAACTGATTGGGCCACACTATTGCCCACAGCGAAATTCGCATACAATAACCAAGCCTCAGAATCGACAGGCCTGTCCCCATTTTTCATTGAGCATGGTCGACATCCCCGAATGGCACCAGACGTACTGGAAGGAATACAACATCCATCCCTGGAACATCTATTCCACAACCGCGATCAAGCACAGGAACAAGCACATGCCGCTTTGGCGTTAGCAGCAGAAAGAATGAAGTGGTACTTCGATCTCAAAAAGCAGAACATCCCTTTCAAAGTAGGAGATGAAGTGCTTATTCGAGGAAAAGATCTCCATGTAAAAGTCAAAAGTCAGAAACTTGCGACTCAAAACTATGAACCATTCAAAATCCTTGAAAAGATTGGAACCGTATCCTTCAAACTGCAATTACCAGCGGATATGAAGCTCCATCCGGTGTTTCATGCTTCAAAGCTCATAATGTTCCATCAAGATTCTATCCCGGGACGTGTACCTCCCCCTAATCCTCCAGTCATCATCGATGGAGAAGAGGAATGGGACGTGGAGGACATCCTGGATTCTAGAGTCAGGTATAACAAAACCCAGTATCTTGTTAAATGGTTAGACTACGACTACAGCGACAATACTTGGGAACCACTGGAAAACCTCACAAATGTCAAAGACAAAGTAAAGGAATTCCATAAGACACATCCAGATGCTCCAAGAGCCAAGCCGCGAACACGCAAAGCGCACAAAATTGCTTTGTCCGACCACCCCGATGAATTCATGTTCTTCTTCCGCATCCATCCAAATGCCTGAGCACCCTACAAGGGATCTTCAGAAGCTGTAGGGTGGGATGTCAAGTCCACACAAGACATAGACATTCCCCCACATTCCAGAATGCTCATTGGCACCGGGCTTGCAGTGGATCCTCCAAAGTGGACATACATTCAGGTGGCCCCCCGTAGTGGGCTAGCCCTCAAAGGAATTGATGTCGCAGCAGGGGTAATTGACCCAGACTACACTGGGGAAATCAAGGTGCTTCTCGTTAATACGACCAGCAAACCATTCGAGGTCAGGACAGGCGATCGTGTCGCCCAACTCATATGCGAACGCTACGCTCCAGGAATCATTTTGGAGGCAGATAGTTCACTCGCAAAGTGAACCATATGAGGCGCCAAAGGCTTTGGCTCATCGGGACGATGAACCTTGAGAAGGGGGTGATGTCACAGTTTTTACCTGATAAGTCATTATAGGAACAAATGCTATTAGGAGCATATTATTTTTATCATTTCTCGTCGCACAAGAAGTCACGTGACCTAATGAGAGATAAGATAAAGGCATCTAGTCACATGACCTCGGATCTCTCTCGGCATTGTCACATGACCTCGGATCTCTCTCGGCATTGTCACGTGACACTGAGCTCCTCGGCATGGCGTCATATGTCGCAATCGTCATGACACCATATTATATGCTCAAGAGGAGCTCCGTCTCCATGGATTATTATTAGGCAGCCAATCAGGATAATTGGGACACATCATACGATTGTAGCACTGACCAGTAGAATAGCATGTGACTCGCTTAGGTAGTACTGTACAGTAGCATAGCAATCATGCATATAAGGACCAGCGAGATGAGGAGGAGACCTCAGTCTTATTCTCCTTCGTCCTCCACTACCATCACAGAGGGGTCTTACCAGACACTCTCAGTGTGCTATATATATCTAGTATCATCCTCATTTGTGATAGCACCCCTCACCTCACCAGTAAGTCTTACTTTGCGACTAGCGACTTAGCCTCATCAGTGAGCACGTCGTATCGCCACAGCTCGTCACTGTAGGCTCTCAGCCAGGAGACCCTCAAGGGGACTCCTTATTTGGGTTGTCTATCTTTGTCATCGGCGTGCCGTGACAACTGGGCACTTGAGCCATTGAAGATGCCTTCATGATAAGCATATTACTGAAGATTCAGTGCAATGATGACCTTCAACAGCTTCATATAATTTTTCAATAAATACAGTTTCAGAATAGCTCAGTAAAAACAATAACATCATCCCTTCTTGACCAGCAACCACCATGTCAGCTATAGGCGCCCAACCAGCGATGTCGACATGTTGAGCTCAGGTGTTGAGTGTACTCCTCCGGGAGAGTCTCCACCGTCCACAAGCACTGCACAGGCTTTGGCCTCGCAGCGCCTGCCCGAACACGACACCATGAACGACACCATACGTTCTCTGCATAACAACCTCAGTGACCTAGTGGTGTGTGTCCAACGCACCATCGAAAGCCCCTACAATCCCACGTCCTATGGGGAAGAATTCAAAAACTGCTCTGCCTCCCTCGCTACTTGCGTGCGTGACTTTCACAATGCATTCTTGCACAGTGGTGCCCTTCACAAAAGTGAGACCGGGCTGCACATCACCTGACACTTCCAGTCTCTCTTCTGCCAGCAGACCACTGTTGTCTCCATCCTCCTGAATGACGATGAGAATCTGGTCGATGCTCACCACCACAGCTGACCGAGAATGGAAGGCAACCTCCCCATTGGCATCAACCTGCAGGCTGCCGTAGCAAAGGGTGTGGAGGACGATGTGCGCATTGCCATGTCAGCCATCAGCATGTGCCTCTCAGCTATAGAATCCCAACTTGCTCAGTCCCATCCACCTCTGCCTCTACTGAAACCCAGCCCACGGGCCTCAAAACTGCCTCCATGAGGTCACCAACCAGGCTCCAAGGACATCACCAGTGCTGCTGCACTCAAGGCACAACCTGCATCGCAGACCCCTGCTGCACCCACCATGATGCAGGTTGTTGCCAAGTCTCGTGAGAAGAGTTACATACTTCTCATCACCCCTGAACAACATGCCTCCATTGAGGAGGGAGGCACCATGCCTCAGTGGTATGCAAAGGTTCACACCCACATCCATGAGACGCCCGCTTGGGCAAAGGTACACTTTCTTCTTCTCCGCTTTGCTGGAGCTATCAAGGTCATGGCAGTTTTCTCTTATGACTCCTCAGATGCTCTCATCCGTGAATGTCTCCATCCCATACAGCAACTGCTAGGTGTTACGCCGCATGCCACATTACCCACACTGGGCCCTCACAAGCAGGCCACTGTGCCACAGAACTTTCATCCACTCGCACCGGTGGCAAAGTTATTCATTCTGAGCTGCCCTCTTCGTCACCCTGAAATGGGTGACATGCTCACCAGGAAGGAGATTCTTGTGGAACTATGCTGCAACAGCATGTTTTCTACCATCCACTTTAATGGCCTTCTTGGCTTCATTATTCCTCAAGAGCAGCGAGAGCAGCTTGGAAAATCTTCCATCATCGTATCCATCGAGGATGTTCATCGTGACTTCTGCATCTGCAACCTCCTTGGGCATGATAACCGCAGCAATGCCACCAGTTTTGTCTGATTCTACGGTTCACGCATGACTGTTAAGAAATCCAAGGACTGTCCAGTTCTTCACCAATGCACATGGTGCTGGTGCCTCACCCACCTTGAGAGCCAGTGCAAAAAGAAAGCACTCATCTGTCGCTACTGTGGTAAAACAGACCACACCGTGGAGACCCACCATCACTCGTGCCTCATATGCTCACATGACACTCACCCGGAGGAGCAGGCTTGTGACTCCACCCATTGGTTCTGCATTGTATGCGGTACCAATGGCCACCATGCTGCCGATACCTGTTGTCCTGCAAGAAAGCAGTATCACATCCCCATTTTGACTCAAAACTGTTCTTCATGAATGTTACAATCACACAGTTGAATGTGGTCCAGTCTAATCCACACATCCACGGCCTGGTTTTCTCTTCCACCTATGATATTTATTTTCTCCAGGAACTGTGGTGGGGTCAGATCGGCATCGACACCCCCCCACGGCTCCAAATCTGGTATCACTGTCTACAGTCACATCAATGTCTGGCCTTACGGACTAGACGCGTACCATTTCTCCTTTACCACAATGTCACCTTGCCCTCGAGCCAGTGTCCTTGTCTGACGCTCCCTTCTTAACACCTACTTTGTCTCTATGTGCACCAATTTGATCTTTGACCCCGATGTGGTCCTCCTACACTTCATTTTGCGTAGCAACCCTGACAGGTCTTTTTTCACTCTCAACTGTTACAATGAAGGCCCACGCTCATGGAACTGTGTTCTCGAGCTCCTCTACCACATTTCCTTTGTGCCGAAAACCAACCTTCTTGTTGGTGGAGACCTCAATCTCCACCACACTCTTTAATCATGGACAGATCGTGCGCCGCACCCCAATTTCCCCGCATCCCACTCTTTCATTCCGTGGCTTGAGTGCAAATCCCTAATGCTGCTCAATGACCTTGACCAACCCACACACATGGTAGGCAATGACCCCCTGTCAGGCACTATTCAGGCACTATCATTGACCTCATCTGTGCAACATTAACCACAAGCTTCCATGTGCATGGGGTGGGGGCCACACCTACTCCCTTCAATTCTGACCACATTCTCATCACATATGTTGTCATTCACACTGCTCACCTAGTCCCAGTTGACCTGGGCTTCTGAGTGGATGTATCCAAATGCAAGGACTGAGTATCATGCCTGGAGTGCGAACTCACCTTGCGACCCCCTCTTCATACCTATACCACTGAAGCAGACCTCGAGGAAGGGGCCCATGCCCTCCTCCAGGCGCTCACCACGGCTAACCACAAAATCTTCCCACAGTGCACCCATGCCTGCCATGCATCACAGCTGTGGTGGAATGAGGCATGTGACATCACACAAGCCCAAGTGCAGGCGGCTACCACCAGCGATGACCGTCATGTGGCAAAAGCTGCGCTGACTCTGATCATCCATCAAGCACACAAGGACTGGACTCATGAAGCCCTGTCATGACTCCAGCACACCAATCCCTGGTGCCTAGCTTCATGGACTAAAGGCATGCGTGCACCTCCCCTGCCAGTCATTCACCTGAATGGGGAGGTGAGATCTTTACCAGCAGACACTGGCATCTGCTCACCATGTTTTACTTTCCTCCTTCCCCTCCTCTTCCCCCTCTTCCCTCTCTTTTTACTGCGAATGACCCACTTGTGCGTCCTGACCACCCACTCCTATTCTCTGAGGTGACATCTGCCATTGAGGCTGCATCAAACTATTCTGCACCAGGCATGTCTGGAATGTCCTGACACCTCCTGAAGTGGGTCTGGCAGACAGGTGCACGTGATCCTTTCTTTGAATTTCTCGCTGCCTCTCTGTGGCTCAGCCATTTGCCCACTGCATTACGTGAGGCTGCTGTTGTCTACTGTCCAAACCTGGGAAGGATGACTACACTGTGCCTAAGGCCCACTGCCCGATTGCCCTCCTCGAAACTCTTAGCAAGGTGCTCGAGAAGGTAATCTCTGCTCATTTCAATTTTCAAATCAGCGCCCATGATCTCATCCCCAGCTCCCAGTTCGAAGGACACAGTTAACATAGCATCGTCGACGCTGGCATCGTTCTCATCCACCACGTCTGCACTGCATGGGAGAATTGCTTCTCTGCCACCCTGCTCTGCATGGACATGGAAGAATACTATGATAATATTCATCATGACATATTCCATTCTGCTTTGCATTCGATGAGCTTCCCAGACAATGAAGTCCATTGGACTATGTCCTTCTTATCCTCCCGATCTGTGCATTTAAAGCTCAACTCCGAGCTGGGTCCCTCCTTTCCAGTGGCTGCCCTTGATATTCCACAGGGTTCGCCCCTGTCCCCAGTTCTGTCCACAATTTATTCCTCATCCCTATACGCTTCTTTGGACCCTTTCATGCACTCCCAGCAGTCCACTGAGGCTACATGGATAATTTTGCTCTACTCATCGTCTCTCCGTCTCTCAATGAGAATGCGAGCATCATCCAACACACTTTGCCACAGGTCGATCAGACCCTCACCCAGCTCAGACTCACCATTGGCATGGCCAAAACTGAGCTGATACATTTCACCTCCCCACGTCGCTCCCTGGACACCAATCCAGTGCTCTGGGTCCAGTGGCAGGGAAGGCCTGTAATCATCCACCCTGCTCCATATCTCCGCTGGCTCAGGATATGGTATGATCAGCAGCTCACTTTCACTCATCACATCTGTGTCATGGCATCACGGGTGACATCCTGAGTCACCGCTTTCCACATGCTCATGAACACACAGTGGAGCATGATAGTTGCCCAAGTGCACCTGCTCTATCTTACTACCATCCTTTTCATTCTCACATTTGGCAGCCCTGTGTGGTACAACCCGCGAGAGCAACGCTCACTATTTAAGCCCCTCCAGCAGGTTCAGGACGTGGTGCTGTGATGGTTCCTTGGTGTCTGGAGGTCTACACCCCAGGTCGTGCTGAACCTCCTGTCTAGTGTTTTGCCCATGCGACAGCAGCTTAACAAGCTCAATGGCCTTGCTGCTGCTCGCCTCCTCACCCTACCCCTCAACCACCCCATCTTCCACTGCCTGGTGGCAAATCGGGTCACCCACCCACCAGCATTCTCGCTACTTAACCCCAACATCCCCATCCACTATGGTAACATGGCAGTGAGCATCCTCGAATGCGAGCTTTTCAACAAGGCAGCATGCATCCAGCCTTGGCTCCAATCCCCTTGGGTGACCCTGCACCTGTGGGGCCTGAGGGTAACTGTTACGCTTCCCCCTCCATCCAAGGAAGGATCAGACGATTACCTATGCACTTTCTTTTATCCTTTACTACATACTTCCACTCCCTCCCCTATCACGCTGTGGGTATTCACCGACGGCTCCCAAGTAGACATCCCTGACATGGCCCCTCAAAACTGGAGAGCAGATGCAGGTGCGTGTATTATCCATCAGGGGGCCATCAAGTACGAGCGGGCATGGGGCATGGGCCACCGTGCCGAGGTATACGATGCTGAACTACACACAATGGCGAAGGTCTCCAGCCGCTTTGCCAGTTTTCTGGACACCTACCCCGATATCACTTGCATATACCTCTGTGCGGACAACTGGTCAGCCCTGTCCAACATCCTATCGTTGCATCTGCATAGTGGCCAGCAGTTTTCACTTCGCTTTCGGACACTTCTCGCTCCTCTCATGGAGTGCTACCCTCTTCTTAAACTTTCTCTGCTCTAGGTCCCTGGCCACCATGACGTGCTGGGAAATGAAGTGGCTGACTGCCTTGCCAAGGCAGGAACGTCTCTACCCGATGATGTCCTGCCCACTTTGATGTGGGTTAGGTGCTGGGTGCATGAGCGAGCGATCACCTCCTGGCAAAGTGAATATGCTTACACTGATCATCCCACTGCATTGAGGTCTGCCTGGCCTTATCAGCCCTTCCAGAAGCTGCATCCTGTTTAGTCTTCTAATTATTTCAAACATGATGTCGAAGCCAGATTCACCCAAGCCTTAACCGGCAAGGGTTACCTGGCCCCTTACTTCTCTTCGTCCTTCAGGACTGCTGGGCCCGCTCACCACTATCATGGCACCCCCTGTATCTGTGACCCTAACACCCCTAGTGCCCATGAACACATCATGCTGTGGTGCCCCCGGCACGCACATGCCCAGCACCTGCTCTTCCATCAATCCAACCCTACTACTTGGGACCTGCGTTGACTGTGGAACCACCCAACTGGCCTCTCGAGACTCATGTCTTTCATCTCCATCACCTCCTCCTTCACGGCTGCCGCTTTGGCACTGCCCGATCCTGAATACTGTAGCTCTAGAACTCATGATCCTGGAGGTCTGCCTCCCATGTACCCACAGCCTGCGTGTCGATACCTCTTCGCATAGTACCCTCATGTATTGCTCCACTCAACTGCACATAGCGCGGTATACAAATAAATGTATTAAAAAAAACAATATGTAACACTTACAACATCATCTTTTCAGAATGTTCTGAATGACAAGTTTGAATTTTGTTAAGTGTAAGGACCATGTACATATGCCTATCAGCATAAGAGCTTTTGCATCTGTCTAAATAGATAATCTGATCATGCTTGCACCTGATTTTGGTCATATTTATCAGTGCATAAAGTCACCAAGCAAAGTTGTTTTTCAGGAAGTTAAACTACAAAGAGTATCATTTGTGAATATGCAAGCTCTGATATGTCTGCATAAGGGTTCACTCACTGTAGATGAGCTATGGTCAGTGATCTTACCTGACAGAATGCTTTCAATAGTAGATAAATATGCACTAATGAGAATAAAACAGAAAGTATGATGAATACATGCTAGTGCATATGCATACCACTAAGGCAGGGCCTCATAATCCATAACTCAGGTTCTAGTTATATAGTTAATTAAGCACTATTGCCAAAGTTCAAAATAGAAGAAATTAAATATAAAAACAATAGCACCGTTTAAAGACATAGCAAAGCCTTATTGAGCAAATCTTGAAACTACAACAATTGATCTTTGTCTAAGAGACAAATATAAAATAGGTTATCAGTGCATATGATGTAGCAATATGCAGCCCTGTTATGCTTTGTAAACCTTTCAACATCTGATCTCTTCTCAAGCATATATCACTATTCAGTAGAAGAGGCTCCAACAGCGATTTATCAGATTTTATATTCATTATGAGCTAAGGCCAACAGTGTCTGTGAGACCTTCATTATATTTTTATGATCTAGCATGTGAATATTAATAGTATCACAGAAGGCATGAGGTTATGATATCACTGAGATCATTTCAAACACACTACAATCACAGTTCAAATTTTACTCAAGTGGTCCTATTAAAAGCATGTTCATATGAAGTTGAATACGCAAAATTAATCTCTGTAAAGATGTTAAAAACCTTTGAGGCTTCAGCCACTGCATGGTGCTGGACTGATGCCTTGTTATCAGAATCTATGATTTTATCTTGCTTGATATAAGATTAACACTGGCTACCTCATTTAAACTATGCACTTCCTCAATAGACTAAATATTTAAATGCTCAATCAATTAGGTTGTGATATTAAAATGTTTCTGTAAAACAGAATATCAAACAATTGGTTACATTTAGTGAATATCAGTCTAGATGTATCTGAATGCCTTATGTGAAAGTGCTTAATCTTATTTATGACTTCTCAGATTGCTTTATATATTTTATGAGCATCATTATGTGATCTGAAACATTTTCGTTGTACTTTTTACCTTATATGGTACATGTATTGCCGGAGCTACCCTAACCATCAATGTTTCTTTTCAGACCTTGTATTTAACAACACTAGCACTCACATGCCAGATGATGTTTGAGTCTCATGATAGATAAGTGACTTATCCTGCAGTACAGAGTGTATAGTGATAAATAAGATGCCCATTGTGTTCAACCACTCAGGAGATGAGATGGAAGCCAGTATCAAGAGAGGGGCTCATTCTGTTTGTGAACTTTCATGATAAGATGATGATCAAGTTCGATGATAGATATAGATATCTTACTTCTTATCATCCATTGATGTATTCTACTATCATTGCTCTGCACTTCTTTATTATTTGAACCTGGCACTCATTATCTCTTCAACCAAGTCATGTGTTTGCACATGAACCTTCTCACATAGCTGGGTCACGTAAACTATGATGTGCTGCTACTTTCTGAGGCTACTCTATTACATCACTACAGAAATCAGTATACAGAAACTTTGTTCAATGCTGAAAAATTTAACTATATGATATATGCTTCTCTGACAGGATCAGAATGAGATTGTGATCAACACAGAATATTTTTACTATAATTCAAGTGGAATCATTTAGACAAAACAGATCTGTTCAAGAATAATTGTTATACTGTATATGTATGATGATATCATTCATGTGATCACGATGGTGATGCAAATTCTAGTCGATGTCACATTTGATGATTGCATGCAGTTGTGAGCATTACTATCAATTACTGGATGGTTGGTGTGAAGAGAGTTAAGGAATGTATAAGTTGGCAGGTGGCATATTTTTACCCTGTCAGTTTGTACTCTAACATCTCTTGATCACTGTTAACAAATACTGCAATGAGATCCTGTCTTGAACTGTGAATTGCAACAGTGACAACATTTGAAAGACTTGCCAATTTCACTATAGTCGCATTCAAAACATACTACTGCTAAGCAGCAGTCACTAGAAAGAAAATATCAATTTTCATCACAGAACAGACATTATTGATTTTAATTTGTGCCATACTGCCTTTGTTAAAGAGGATGGGAGAGTTTCAAAACATTGTGATTGTGCACACCTTCCTCACAGTACACAGTAGGACTTGGTGCTTTCTTTTGCAGCAAGTAATACTGGACTCTCAGTGCAAAATTGTTCTGAATATTTATTATTTAAAACCCTGCGATAATATTGCTCGATTAAATTTAATTTAAAATGCTTGCACTGGAAACATTTGATTCAAGTTGTGATTGTGACTGTAACTGCTCGAAATATTTTGCTGTATCTGATTCACCAGAATTATGTGGGAGATGCAATCTGCTGGGCTCCTCTTCTGATTGATGAGTAAAGTGTTGCATCGAGTTCTCAGAATTATGCACTGCTGGGTCTCCTAGCACGGATGTCACAGATTTTCACCACAAAGTCCGCACGTGACTTTTCTCACACCACAGATCACGTGCTTCACCAATATCTCACGCCACTCAGCCACAGACACGACGCGTAGAGATCAGGTGATAGTCCACATCACATGTTATAGTCCAGACCCGTGGATGATACGGTCGGACCTGTCTATTCCAGGATACAATAGAGGCACCCATTTGGGAACAAAGGGAACAAGGACTATTGTTATGCATCGACCTTCCGCTTTCTATTAGTTTAGCCAGAAGCCTAGATAGGTACGATGTTCACACCAGAGAACAAAAGGGAAACCAAGATAGGCACGATGTGCACACGCATTACTGCGGCAACCATCGATCTTCCCACTTATTGTTCTACTTCCGGACATCCTATTGTTTCATGTACGGCCATTTGCTTATACCCGTAGATAGGTAGCTTAGGTAAGATAGCCTGCTGTATGTGTATATAAGACCAGCCATGTAGGGGACGAAACCTCAGATTGTTTCTCCTCGTCTACTACCCATAGCACTTACTGAGCCCACCAGCTCCTTCATATATCTCTCACCCTTTCCTGCATCTGCCACATCGACCAGTAAGTCAACAGGCTCTTGCACCACATAGGGATCAGGGGGATACTTTTGGGATCAGGGGGATCAGGGCGGCACGTTCCACGTGACTGTCCCTTTTTTAGTCTTTTGATCTCTTGTCCGGTGTTACCGTGACATTAGAAACAATCTGACATTTTCCGCGCCCCTGCTTAGTGTCTAACACAAGTGGCCGCGTATGATCAGCACAAGCAGTTTCAGCCGTAGTGCACGGCTTTTTTGACACACATTCCAATCTGATCTCTACCTGGCGTAAGCCTCAGCAAGACTCTGAGCTGCCCAAAGCCTCAAAGCGCAAGGCCACCCCTAGGATCGACCTCGACGCCCACTACAAGCGTCAGGAAACCAACAAGGAGCATGGAAGGCTCCTCACACTTGCGTCACTAGGCGCATCGTCCACAGACAGGCAGCGAGCAGCAGCTAGGGTTGTAGATACCACACACATCATAAAGCGCGGAATCATCCACAAGCCACGCGATCACACCCCACCGCTCGAACGCTACAAGCCCAGAAAAGGACATCTTACCACTGATAGTCGCAAGCCGGCACCACCCCCAGAGCTTATCACCTCCAACGCAGTTCCTCCCCCTGTCATTGCTCCCATTCCAACTCGTCCCCTACCCAACTTCATAAAGACAAACACCATTGCACGTCCCATCCGCCCACTCCCTTCCAGAGTCAGGCCGACGATCCACATCGAGACCCTTACGAAACAGGTAGATGCTACCCGTTTCAGGCTCCAACCCATATTAGGAGCATTCTCATATCATCTCAAGGACGAGCACCAAAAACCCATCTTTAGCCTCGCCACAGAGCTCGATAAAGTTTGCGCTGACCTACACACAGGAACGCGCACATATACATTCGTCGAGAAGCAGGTTATCAACAAAGTCTGTCTGGAGATAGGAGAAATCAGTTTCAAGCAGATAGGAAAGGAAGAGAGGCTGCAGGAAATTGCCAAGGCTCTGGTCTTCATCTCGAAAGCAAGATATTTGCACTTTTTGTATTAGTTTACCTATATCACAATGGAAGGAGCCGATCGTGCGCACGCATCCACGTTCAGGCAAAGAATGGATGATATTCTTCACACAAACGTCGAGTCAGCACACGATGGAAGCACCCCACGTGCCTCGCAGCGCAATTCACCAGAACCTGCACTAGGACCACAGGATTCTGCATCGCAAGTTGGAGGACCAGCGTCCCCAACCCCATCACTCTTACCCGCCTATGTTCCCCCCATCTGGGAATTCGACGGACACCAGTTCGAGCACCTAGAAGATGTGCTCAGACAGTCCGCTCCCGGAGAAGTCCCAGACCACATACGCGAATGGGTAATCATCGCAATGAAGCTCACAGTCACTACCGAAATTGCCAAGGTCTACAATGTGCTTGGAAACAAGATGTACGAGCACAAGAAAGCCTTTGAATCGCAGATCCAGAACAACAAAAATGAGCACCGATTAAAGGAGGCACTGCTCCAAACCGAGAACGGCAAGCTCAAGGACAGGATCGATGCGCAAGATGCACATATAACGGTACTTAATGGCGAACTCACCAGAACACAAGCGGCAATGTTAGATATTGGAAAAGAGATGATGGAAATCAAGGCAGCAAACACTAGGCTGCGACACGAGCTAGCTTCGCTCAAAGCAAGCGGCGTCACTGTGACGCAAGGCCAAACGTCCAGCACAGTCCAATCGCACAAACCCCGCATCAAAATTGCTGAACCTCCACACTACTCGGGCAAAGGAAGTCTGGAGGACTGGCTCCAACAACTTGGTATATGGATGCGGTGGAATGAGATCAACGATGATGAACACAAGATTACCACGGCCTTACTGCACTTGGAAGGTGGCGCGTTCACATACATGTCCGAATATGCGACCAGAGCAGCAGCACGGGAGGCACTTGGCACATGGGAAGACTTCGTCAACATTCTCAAAGTGAACTACAGGACCCTCGACCCGGACAAGGATGCGCAGCAGCATTTGAAGGATATCTGCGGCAAGACGTATCCCACAATGGTATCCTTCGCAGAACAGTTCCGTCAATGGGCCACTAAGACCAACTTAGGGCACACTGCACTCATCGGTTACATCGCTGAACACC